CAGGAAGATGTGTGTTCACATAGGAAGATGTTTATGTGAGCATACAGCAAGGTGTGTGTGTGTGTGTACACAGTAAAGCATGTGTGTGTGCACAGGAAGGTATGTTTATGTACGTCCGTACACAGGAAGATGTGTGTGTACACATAAGGTGTGTGTGAGTGTTTACACAGGAAGATGTGTGTGTCTATATAAGGTTTGTATGTGTACACAGGAAGATGTGTGTGGGGACGCTTTGGAAGGTCCATGCACGTGTTCACTGGAGGATGTAGATGGAGAAGCAGCAAGTATGTGCTAACCCGAGAATTGCTTCCTGTCTCAGCAAACTGTGCCTTTCTGATACAGGAGGATCTGACATAAGTGAGCGGCCAGGTGACACTCAACAGTGACCTCAACCAACGTGGGTTCTCCCTGTCCTTCAGAAGCGAAATGAGAGGGCACAGACGTGCACAGGATTCGCATCCACTGTAATGTGTCTTCCTGCAGGGAAGGGAGACAGCGCAGCAGGCCTGTCTCGGGAGACACTGGGGCCCTGGTCCCGAAACCTCCAAGAGCAAGACATGTTGAGGACAGGATGGCCCCACCCCACTCCCTCCCAGAAGCAGCAGGACGCCCACCTCTGGGCGTGGAAGTGGACGCTCCCACCACTGCCTGCTTACCTCGGAGATACTTCACCCGTAGGTACTCTGGGCTGGCCTTCTGGCCGGGGAGGGGGTCATTCAGCATGACCTTCGTCTGAGCTTTAATCCCTTCGTAGAACTGCCCCATGGCCACGTGGCTGAGCCCCTTCATGTACTGGCACACTTCATTATATGGCTCCAGCTGCAGGCAGCGCTGCGGTTAGACAGAAGCAGCATCAATGTCACGTGGGTGGGACAGCGTCTCCTTCAACCCAGAAGCCTTCCTGGCAGGTTAGTCAACTACAGAGGTTTCTAAGTTAGTCGAGAGGCTAGGACAGTGTTTATTCTCTCTGTCTCTCTCTCTGCTTCTATCTGTCTCTGTTTCTGTCTGTCTCTGTGTCTATCTCCCACCCTCCTCCCTCTCTCTGAGACACAGGGTCTCATTATATAGCCCTGGCTTGCCTAGAACTCACTCTGTAGCCCAGGCTGGTCTTGAACTCAACAGGAGCCACCTGCCTGTGCGTCCCAAGTACTGGGATTGAAGGAGCACACCACGTCCAGATCCCTTTTGTGCGTGGCCTGTGCTGGTAGCCGTGGCCCCTTCAGCTAGCTCCACTGCACTCTCTGAAGACATCGCAAGAGCCCCGGCCGGGGCTGCGGTGAGGCTCACCTTGAAGTTCTTCAAGGCCTCCTGCAGGCTGCCGTGGTGGTAGAGCATCACGCCCCGGAGCTGCAGGGTCTGCACGTGGTTCTGGTTGAGCAACAGGGCCTTCTGGAAGCTCTCGGTGGCCGCCTCGAAATTCCCCAGCTCTCTAAGGATTGAACATCCGCGATGAGCACCGGAGTGCAGCGCGGGGAGGCCCCGGGGAGGTGTGTGTCTCTGCTGGGGAACACCTCACGCACGGCCACGGTGTCTTCACACACTTAGGAATCTAACGCACTGCAGGACACTCACATTCTTTGGGTTCTCTACGAAAAAGTAACTTACTGATTTCCACAATCAGCAATTTCCAAATGCTTATTCAAAGTCCTCTCTAGTGCACTCGTGCCAACCTCTAGACTGCTATGGATGCATACACTTCTCCCACGCTGGGGAAAACGTGCATGGATTAGTCATAAAAAATGTCAAGTCCAGAGGATTAAAACTGTAGCTCTCTGGTCACTGAAGTTACTTCAGTGAATGGAAACAGTTCAGATGCCAATTTTCTAAAAATGAGAAATATTTTTAAAAACATAGCTTCCTGACATCTCTGTACTCATTTTATGGTTGTTTCCAATCTACTTCCATTGTGTATCTAACAGTCCTGTGGAGCAGGGGGCCAAACGTCACCTTGAGCCCCACAGAAGCACAGGCATCTCCCCAGCTGGTGCCAGCCTTCTCAGACCATCCATCCCACAAAGCAGCTCTCCACCTGAGGGCGGGGCTTCCCTGGCTCTCTAACAGCCTTTCCCCTGCAGCCACAATGAATGGCTCCTTTAAAGGCAAGAGGCCTAGAGGCCTTCACTGACATAGCTGCAGAGTTCATGTGTCCTCACTGTTAGCCAGGCCACTTGCCTTTCTGATCACAGTGACGCTGCTTTTCAAAGCTGGAATACCCTGACAAGGAGGCAATGCCCAGAACCACGAGGTGAGGGCTGGCCAGAGCTTATGGAACTGGACTGACTCCCCACCACATGGCCTGGCAAGTGGTGACAGTGTCCATCACCCAGGCACAACACGAATCTACGGGCACTGACACCCTCAGAGAGCTGTGCGTGAAGATGCGGGTGCCATGTGGGTCCTGCCAAGGGCTCCCTCACACCGCAGAGCAGATGCCAGCAGGTGTGGCAATGCCTTCAAACCTACCGTCTTGGCCTCCTTTCAGCCCACGGCACTCACCTGTAGGCCTGTCCCAGACTTTTGTACGCATCAATGAAGTCAACTTTCTGTCTCAGCGCTTCTTTGAAGGCCTCGATGGCTTCCTGGGGAAGGCACGAAGAAGAGGCTCTTCACATGTCTGCACTCACATTGCTAAAGGTTACATACATGCTGCGCCCGGCTCTGGCAGGCTTATCCTAAATAAGGCCAGGCAAGAGGCCGGCAATGCACAGAGCTTTGGGAGGCTGTGCTCCTAACAGCACACACACGTATACCCGTAGATGGCCTCAGGCTGCACCTCTCAAAGTGTGACAGAGCTGCTGTTCCATCTATCTTGGCAAAACCCGGAGTGCTAACGATTTCACCTTCATAAGGACATCGTTTCTTCAATCTGTAACAGGCCAATGAGCCAAACACTCAACAGCCCTGAGATTATTCCAAAGGACAGCCTGCTGCACTTAAACTGAGTCAACAAGATAGAGCAAAAAAAACGGGCTTCCTGGGTTGGTGGTCAGGATTCCTTGGATCACCAGGAAAGTGGTGGAAAAAAAGAGCCCACACAGGGCTGGGCGCTGGGCACGCTGGGGCACCAGGCACAGCTGGGCTGGGGGTGCTGCAGCCACTGAGGGGAATCTGGAGCACACTTTTGCACCTGCTTAATGTGAGAACCACTACTTGAGGGTACCTACCACTCTGCTCACGGCTACACAACCTGAACTCGTGCAGCCACTACACCTGCGCTTCCATATCATTGTCACTGTTAGTGTAATAAAAAATCACAGACATGTCACCCTTTCCAGGGGCAGGACTACTGGCACTAAAGTACCGCCGCAACCAGAAGACTTGGCTTTAGACAACATCACGTCTGTTCAATTAGATGCTGGCAGGAGTGTCCCAGGCCTTGCACATGATAGGCACCCATTCAAGGCACAACTGCAAGCCTTCGAAAAGCCATCTGTCTCTGCATCCAGGTTCTAGGTGGATGGAGGGCAGCTTCAGACTCTTCCGAAGCCATGGTGGGGATGATGAATCGCTGAAGGGCCCCATGACTCTGACCGTACTCCTGAAGTACCCAGCCTTAACCTTCTAGGACTTTAATGATAGTTTTACTCAGCAAACACACAGTGTGTGCCTACCATGTACCAGAGCAGTGTGAGGGGCAGGCACACGAGCAGTCATTCTCTGTGTCCTCTAAGAACACCCAGTCTTTTCAGAACAGAAAGCCAACTGTGAAATGGGTTATTGGCACAAATGCTACAAGGAGGGAGGCCCTGGGAACAGGGAGAAGGAAGGATCAACTCCAGGGTCTAGGGACGGAACAGCAACATAGGGAGAGAGCACCTGCCACACCGTGCGGAGCTCAGAGCCAGAAGTGGCAGGAAATCAGAACAGCGCACAAGGATGTGAGTGGAGACAGACAGAATGGAACCTAGCTGGTGCCTGCCCAGGTATCCCAGGCCTTGGGAACAGGACAGTGACTGTGGCAGAGCAGCAGTTGGGGGTAGAGCAGGGAAGCGGGACCCAGGCTGGGTCAGTGGGCATGTGGGCAGGAGACAATAAAAGCTCAAGGTGAGTGTCCCTAAGGAGAGAGAAGGGTCAGGTTCAGGGACATTTCTGAAGGCAAACAGCCAGAGTCTGGTGGCGCTGAGGGGAGGAAGAAGAACAGGGCAGTACTAGGCAGTACTGGGCGAGGGTGTGGCCACTGAGGAACACAGGGATATAGGGAGAGGGGGCTGGGTCATGTTGAGCCTGCCGTGTCTGTGGACATCCAGGGGAGGTGCCCAGTGGGCATCTGCTGCCCACCCCACTTACAGCATGTGTGGACGCCACACTTCTTCAAAGTCTGATTCTCTTCAGCTTTTAAGGCTTTGGTTTCAGGGCTCCTGTCTAAGCACTGCTCAGCTCTCTACCTCACTCTGCCAAAGAGGGACAGAGCAGAATCAAGACTTTAAGCCGCTGGGAACAAGAGACGAGCACACATGAGGCGACCTCTACGCAGATAAACCACCTCAGAACCCTCAGCCTGCCAGGGCCGCTATCCACTCCCTCACCACCGCCCTCCGTGCTCCCAACAACAGACAGCTTAGGGGGGAGAGCTTATAACATCCCTATGACGTGGACTAAATGGATGGAAAGTTCCTGCTGTTGAATCCTCAGGGCTAGATCCGGCACACTGTACAGCTGTGTGACGGGCCTGGCCAGGAGCGGTGGCGCTCACACCAGGAAGCCATGGTGCTCATGCGCAGCAGCCAAGGTAGCAAGATTACAAGCTGAACACTGACTTGAGCTGCAGTCAAGCCCTTTCTTTAACAAATTACATAAATAAGAAGCTCTAAAATGTTGAATATCCTTCCAGCACTTACAAAATAAAAAAGTCACCTAACCAATTTCTAAATCGCCCCTGGCCTGAACAGACCCCTTAAAGTAAACGTCGGCCCAAGGTCACTGCTGAGCCTACTGCTCCGTGTCTGTGGATGACAGGGCCACCCTTTAGCGCCTCAATTCAGACACTGCTGTCCACAGCGAGGATGCAGTGGGACGGGAGGGAGGCAGCGAGCCCCTCTGACCTGCTTGGACAGACAAACCACCACAAACAGCCCCTCGGCTTCTCCCACTGCCCGCGTGTGCCTCGGATGCGCAGTGACAGCGCAGCCAAGCCTCACTCTCAGGGCCTGTTTCAGAAGCCTGCCTCTCGCCTGAGCTGGATTCATCTAACAAGTGGAGAGTGCATTTTCGGGCACGCGCTTCCCTTCAAGAAATACTTAGAAAGTGGACTAGACGGACTTTTCCTTGCCTCTTCTCCTCCCTGGCGCTGCCTCTGAGCGCAGCACAGTGGCCTGAACCTTTGCACCTCCTGAGGCTGTGAGGAGATAAACGGAAGGGGCTTGCTGGACGGGTGGGCACAGCCCAGAGAGTCCTACACCCCCATGGGCAGCTCCTCGCCTGAGAGGAAGTCCTGCTTTCGGACATTCTGGGCATGAGATGTGAGGAACATACACAGAACTGGCAAAATTCTTTGTCTTTTGGTTTTCAAAGGGATGGGAGTTTTTTAAAAGCACCTATAAAACACAGATTAACTTTCTCCTGATAAAATAACTGTAATAAAGCTTTTCTCACAGGGCTATCAAACTCTGCGGGACACTGTGAGGGGACACAGAAGGTGTGCCTACTTTATGGGCATGTGAGAAGCTGGTAAGTCTGGAGAGTTCGGAGTCAGCTACATGTCCGGCGGGGAGTTAGCAGAGCTCAGAGCAAGGGTGCAGCCAGAGCCCTAAGGCCACATTCATGCTCTGCCCCTGACACTGTCTGCCCCTCTCACCTCTGAACACAGGCTGTCGACAAGTACCATCCTCAACACCGAGGACTTACTTGTGGCCCAGACAATCTGCCATCTGCAAACACATCTGCTGGCCTCCCTACAGGTGGCAGCGGCGGCTCTGGGGTCCCTCAGACAGGACGGGCCAGCACTGGCATGGGCCAAGCATCCAGCCTCTGAGCTCTGCCAGGCTTCTGTGATGGCCTGTAACAGCTAACACAGGCAGGGGCTGCAGGGGCCGTCAACATGGTGCTGTGTCAGCATGAGGGACAAGAACAAACCGAATGTTTTCCCCTGAGCAGTGCAGAGCTCTGGACAGCAGGTCTAAGGAGGAACAGCTGGTGCAGAGAACACGTGTGCACGGGGCGGCGTGCAAGGCCGTGTGGTGAGAGGGACGCTCCCCGTCCCATGCAGCCTTGGACACTGGGTTCACGACCGCCCTCTCTGAACAGGACTGCTTCACTGCCCAGTGTGCTCTCCAGCACAGCAGCTGGCTGTGCGCCCAGGACAGCCTGGCCCTCATCTAGTGGCTTGGAGTACCCTGTACTAGGGCTCCAATGGTACTTGGGGCCCAGGGAGAGAGGCAGCAAGGCTGTGGCCCGGCTACAGGTACAGCCTGCTACAGCAGGGACCACAGAGACACCAGGAGGAAGCAGCATACGAGCGTGAGTGTATACACACACACACACACACACACACACACACACACACACACACACACACACACACACACA